GGTTTCTGTTTAGACGGTGCGGGGGCCCCAGGACGGCGTGAGCGCTGACAGGGACCACGGGCCTGGACCACGGGCCGAGATTCCTGGGGCACCCTGGGAAAGAGGGCGCCTGCTGACACAGAGGGAAATCCAGAGAGAGAGAGGGGGAGAGGGGGAGAGGGGAAGAGAGAAAGGGGAGAGGGAGAGGGAGGGGGAGAGGGGGAGAGAGAGGGGGAGGGGGGGAGAGGGGGAGAGAGAAAGAGGAGAGGGAAAGAGGGGAGGAGAGAGAGAGGGCAGCCCCCCAGGGCAGAGTGGAAAAATGGGAAGATGGAAAAAGGGCTTAAAGAGATCCCCACCCCCACCCACACCCACACCCCCACCCTCACACGCACCCACACAACCAAACACACACCCCCACCCACACCCACACCCCCATCCCTACCCCCACCCACACCCACACACGCACCCCCACCCCCACCTCAGACCCACCCCCCACCCCCACCCACCCACGCACCCCCACCCCACACCCACACATGCAACCCCACCCACACCCCACACCAACACCCCACCCCCACCCACCCCCCACCCCCACCCACACACGCACCCCCACCCCACACCCACACCCACACCCACACATGCAACCCCACCCACACCCCACACCAACCCCCCACCCCCAGCACCACCCACACCCCCACCCCCACCCCCACATGCACCCCCACAACCAAACACACATTCCATCCCAGGCCGGCATTCCACCTGGAGCCGCCCGCCCCGCCCCTCCGGCGCCCCGCCCCTCCGGCGCCCCGCCCCTCCGGCGCCCCGCCCCTCCGGCGCCCCGCCCCTCCGGCGCCCCGCCCCTCCGGCGCCCCGCCCCTCCGGCGCCCCGCCCCTCCGGCGCCCCGCCCCTCCGGCGCCCCGCCCCTCCGGCGCCCCGCCCCTCCGGCGCCCCGCCCCTCCGGCGCCCCGCCCCTCCGGCGCCCCGCCCCTCCGGCGCCCCGCCCCTCCGGCGCCCCGCCCCTCCGGCGCCCCGCCCCTCCGGCGCCCCGCCCCTCCGGCGCCCCGCCCCGGGCTGTGCGGGCTGACTTCCGGCGGAAGGGAAGCTGCTCTATGGTGACTCCCCGCTCCTGTCCGCCTCCGGCCCGGCTGGTCCTGATGGCGGTGCGCGCCCCTGCCTGGCCTCTGCCTGCCCCTCCGCCTCTGTTCTCTCCTACATCCGGGCCCCCGGGTAGCTGCGCCGGGGCACTGCGTCTCAGGAGCCGGAGGGGCCTTCTCGCGGACCGTGGTTCCGATGGGACGGACCCAGAGGTTCTCCTGGGACTCGGTCACTGACTCCGAATCCACATCCCGACAGTGTTCCCTCCGCCCTGTCCTGCAGCCCCACGCAGGGTATGTGCGCCCACCGGATCCCCCAGGTCTAAGGCCCGCCTCCCAGGTCTAGGGCCCCGCCTCCCAGATATAAGCCCCGCCCGCCAGGCCTCAGGCCCCGCCCACCGGGCCTAAGCCCCGCCCACCATGTCTAAATCCCCACCCCAGGTCTCTAAGCCACACTCACCAGGCCTAACCCCCGCCCACCAGGCCTAAGGCCCACCCACGAGGTGTAAGGCCCCGCCCACCAGGCCTGTGCCCCTCCCCCGCTCACCACTCCTGCCTCCAGGCCAGCCACCCACAAAGAACAGAGTGGCAGACAGGATTTACAAAAGGAACCTGTATTCCAGCCAAAATATCTTTAAAAAGAAATCCCTTCCGAAGGGGACGGACACACCACGTAAGACGCCATACATACATGGGGATATGACTGAGATCACAGATCACACTCTGTCCGCAGGACTCCAAAGTGCACACACACGGGGGAAGGACCAGGCGTCCTCTGTACATCACAGTGTTGGTGGCACAGGTCTCAGGGACAAACATGGCGAGGTTCCGCGTCACCAGTGTCCAACGCACCACGTGTCCGATACACCACGTGTCCAACGCACCACGTGTCCAAGCGCGGAGCCCGCTGCATGCTCTCCACAGGACTGACACCCCATGGGATGTGAGCAAAGACGGAGGGCAGGCGGGTGGGCAGCAGGGCCCTCCCTCCGAGGCTCCTGGCACTCGGGGTGGCACAGACCCAGGGGGCCGGGGCCTCGAAGCACCTGCACTTCTAACCCCGCCGGCCCGGCTCCGTTGGGCGTTTTTGGCAACAGCAGCCCAAATCTCCTCAGTTTCTTCCATTGGGGCTCGGGCGTGGTAGGGTAAACCAGCTTTGGCGTTTTTAATGCGACCTTCATGACCTTCACGTGTGAGCACAGGGGGTGCCGACCCCGAGCTCTGAGCAGCACACAGCTCTCCCTGGCCCTCCACCCGGGACGCTTTCCAGCCGGCCGAGGGGGGACTCCCCATCAGGTGGGATAACCTTGAACTTCTGGGATGAACCAAGATCACCTCGTCTGCGTTTCCGAAATCGGACCCCTTTCCCAGGAGCCTTCGCTCCTCCCCCAGGATGGAGGCCTCTACATGGACGGGCAGGCATGTGCTCCGGGGTGAGTGGGGAATGGCATTGCCCGGAGACACGGATGCTGGGAACAGGGAGGCCCCCCCGCCCCCCCCCCCCACTGAGGGGAGGGCGCCCCCCTCTTCACGGGGATGGACGGCAGGTTAGCACGCTGCACTGTGCTCCGCTCCATGAGCTGCCTGGTCGCTGGCGCCCGGGCAGGCGGGGCGGGGAGATGGGGTCAGAGGGCCTCGGCGGCCGGCTGGTGTCGGGGAGCAGGCGGCCCATTTGGTCCTCGCTCGGCGGGGTGAGGGGTGCTGGTGCGGGCGCTCTGGCAGGGGGTGCCCTCTGGCTCCCGCCGCCCCACAGCCTCTGGTCCCCCAGGCCGGCCCCGTGCCTGCGAACCCGTCAGCGGGAAGGCACCGGGCGGCCGGGCTGGGGCGGGAGGGGCTGCCGGGGGCCCCCAGGACAGACGGACAGACGGATACACGGGAAGAAGTGACCGGAGGACAGGGTCACCCGGAGCCCACAGGGCAGTGGGCCTGGCAGGATGGGACACACAGCCACGTCTTAAAGGGCCCCAGCTGGGGAAAGCGGATCACAAACCCCGCCATGAGGCCTCGAACCCAGGCCCCGGGGTGGGTGTCTCAGAAAGCATCGCCCTCCGGCCTGTCACACCCTCACGGCCGGCCTCGGCCCAGGAGGCGGCCCAGGCCCGCCCGGGTCGTGCCTGAGGATCAGACAGCATCCCGGGAGCGGTCACACGGACGGCCTCGCAGTGGCTTCCGTCCGTAAGGAGAGAAGCAGCGAGGGGCGGCGGGGATCCCGCTCTCACCAGAGCGAGGACACGCACGGGAGGGGTGTCTGCCGGGGCCGGAGCCGATGCCACGTCCACGGGAAGATGCCAGCTCCGTGACACACGGGCTCCCGCAGCCCACGCCTGGGGTGGCAGTCAGGTCTGTCCCCACTCAGCCCCGCGTGGGACACGGCGTCAGCCTGGCCCTCCATGGCGGCCACGCCACAGCACCTGCCCTCCCGTGGAGCCCACGTTCCATGCAACCCGTGGACCCTTTAAAAGCACCAGCTCACCCAGCAGGCGGGGCTCGGGGTGAGCATCGACCTGTGAACCAGGAGGTCAGGGTCCGACTTCCAGTCAGGACACAGGCCTGGGTTGTGGGCTCCATCCCCAGGGGGGCGAGCAGGAGGCGGCTGATCCATGCTTCTCAGCATGGATGCTTCTCTCTCCCTCTCCCTTCCTCTCTGACACCAATACAAATGTATTTAACAAAATGAAAAATAACCGTGAAAGCCGACGAGGCTTTAGAAGCCAAGTTAACGTCAATGCTCTGTAAAGAATACACACTCTCCACTTCCAAGCGTTCTCTGGGGCCACGTGTGTCTCACTGGTCACGCTGCTGCCATGGCAACAGTCACACACAGCCTGCATCAGGACCGGGGCACCGGGGACCAGGGTGCGGGCAGGATAACCAGGTCCCGGAAAACCCGAAACCCGGGAAGTGGCCCCGGGACCCCGCCCAGGACGAGGGCCCCGGAAGGCAGAGGACAGGGGCTTCCCGCCAAACCCCTCGAGCCCAAGGGTCGTCTCTGAAGACCAGAACCTCTGCCGCTGCCGGGAGGGAGCCGGAGCGGGACCGGCTCAGCCAAGGGAAGGACAGGAGGCGCAGCTGCCCTGCAAACACACCTGCCTCCTCTCCCGTCCTCGCCCGGGGATACCTCTCCATCCACTCTGAGATGAGAGGGAGAGCTAAGGGCGGCCGACGTGAGGGACACATCGACTGGCTGCCTCCTGCCCAGGAGTCAAGCCTGCAACCCAGGTGCCTGCCCTTGACCGGAATCGAACCTGGGACCCTGCAGTCCAAGGGCTGGTGCCCTGTCCACCGAGCCACACTGGCCAGGGCCACAGCTGAGACGCCACGGCCCAGAGGCCACGTCCGCAGCGGTGCCCGGCCCCCACGTCTGCGTCCGCCCTACAGGTGTCGGGGACACGAGGGGCACGGGGGGGCAGCCCGCGTCTCCCGGGAAGTGGCGGGCCCGGCACATCCTTTCACAACAGCCTCGGACCACGCACGTGTCCGAGAGGCGTGGAGGCGCCTGGCCGGCGCTCGCTGCTCCGTGGGAAGGAAGGGCCTCACCAGACGCCTTAGCAACAAAGTCAGCTGTCGTCAGCGGGACCGTTGCATTCTGGGTGCAGACGGTCGAACCCGGACTTGTCTCGGCCTCGAGCTGCCCCCATGAGGCCGAGGAGGAGGAGGACCCTTGCAGGAGAAGGTCTCCTAGACGACGGGGGTCCCAGACCCTCACCCTGGGGGGAAGCTGGCCCGGTGCTTCCTCAGCACCTGCCGTCCGGCCAGTCGGCGGCCCCCGCCCCCGCCCCGACGCACGGGGCCTCCGCAGACGGGGACATCGGCCCCAAAGTCCCGGCACCGGTGACGGACGGGCACGTAAGGCAAGAAGGACGTTTATGAGGGGACGGGCGGGGCCAGGCCTCCGAGGCAGCGCCTGCTCCCGCGTCCCGTCCTGTCCTCTAGGTGGGCAGCGGGTCGTCGTCGCCTTTGCTGCACTTGCACTTGCAGCAGAGCACGAAGGGCGTGGCCAGCAGCAGGAAGGGCGAGGCCACCAGGAGCAGGAGCCCGAAGCCCGCAAAGATGCCCACGACCTGCAGGGACGAAGCCAGAGCGGAGGGTCAGGGGGCGTCTGGAGGGGCCACACCACAGTGCAGTCCCGTGGTCGGCAAACCTCAGTCCACGGGGCCAAATGTCAACAGCACAACAATTGAAATGTCTTTGGAGAGCCACGTTTCTTAAACTTAAACTTCTTCTAATGCCGCCTCTTGAAAATAGACTCGCCCAGGCCGTGGTATTTTGTGGAAGCCACACTCAAGGGGCCAAAGAGCCACATGTGGCTCGAGAGCCTCGGTTTGCCAACCACTGGCATAGACCACACAGCCAGCCACCCAGCCCTCATCCACCCATTCCTCCTCCTCCATCCATCTATCTTTCCTCCATCCATCCATCCAGCCATCATCCTTCAATCCATCCATCCATTCTTCCACTCATTCATCTATCCATCTCCCATTTATCCATCTATCCATCATCCCCACCCATCCATTATCCATAACATCCACCCATTCATTCATTTTTATCTCCACCCACTCCTCCATCTGTCCTTCCACCCACCCATCTTCCATCCATCCATCCATCCATCAATTCATCCATCCATCCATCCTTCCACCCACCCATCTTCCATCCATCCACCATCAATTCATCCATCCATCCATCCATCCATCCTTCCACCCATTCATCTATCTATCCATCATCCATCCATCCATCATCCCACTCATCTAACCACCATACATCCCTATGCCCTTCCCAATTTCTTCCCCTCACTCTTCCTCCCATTTCTCCTTTTCTTTTTATCTTCACTTCTCTTCCCCTCCCTCCCTCCATCTATCACTGATGCATCAGGATGACTCACAAGCTTGCCCCAAGCGAGACCCTGAGCTAGGGGCTGGCCCTCCGCAGCAGCCGGCCAGTCTGGAGGGAAGAGCCACAGTTCAATCAACGGTAACAGCGCACTTAGCAAAGCTGCCGCCAGGCCGGTGGAGGGAGCCTGGCAGAGGGAGGGCTTTCCCCGGGAGACGCTGGATCACAAAGGGCGGAGCGGGCGGTAACCAGAGCAGCTGGACTAAGGCGTTCCAGCGGGAGACGGGGAAGGCAGGCGAGGTGCCGGGGCGTGGCCGGCCTGTGCCATTCCTGGCGTTGGAACCAGGTTCAAGTGGAGGCTGAGTGTCCAGCCCCCGGTGCGGACATCAGCTGGTGGGCGGAGCAGGAATCTGGCTTCCCTGGTCCTCTCCATCGGCTGCCTCCCTCCCAGGCAGCCAGCGGCCAGGACGGACCTGAAGATGGGGTGACAGCCCCATCTAGTGGTCTGAGGGGAAAATACACAAACGCACAGCACCTGGGTCTGACTGACTGTGGGCTTCTCTCTGGGCCTGAGTTTTCTCAGGGAAGAAACACACACGGGGGTAAGAGGTCTCGAAGGACCGTGAGCAGCCCTGGGACTCTGCGGGGTGTCCAGCGCCCCAGTGTGTGTCTTAGCTTCCTGCGGCCACACACGCACGCCGTCACACAGGCACGCCGCACACAGGCACGCCGTCACACGCACGCCGTCACACGCACACGCCGTCACACGCACACGCCGTCACACGCACACGCCGTCACACACGCACGCCGTCACACAGGCACGCCGCACACACGCCCCCGCACGGTGGACGCTGGGCTCATGCCGAGGTCGGCATTTACTGCCCACGGTCCCAATGTCCACAGGGGACCGTGCGCCGTGAATTCTGACCAGTGTGCCGCCATCACGCGCGCACAGACATCCAGAAAACGTGAAAATACGCAGGACGCTGTTCTGCGCCAGAGGGCGCTCTTGAGCAATCGTCAGCGGGACCATCGAATTCACCTGTGCGCACTTGCACGCACATGTGAACACATTCGGTGCACACTCACACAGGCACACACACGCACCACACCCATGCGCACACATGCACCCCCACATATACACATGCACACGCACACACACCCTCCTGCACAAATGCACATGCATGCACCCACCTAACCACACTCACACACACTCACACTCACACACTCCCCAGGATGGCAGCCTGGCCGTGCCCACCTGCGTGCGGTGCCAGATGACGGAGGCCCGGGAGTGACCCAGCTTGTTCCTGCACGGCCCCTTGTCGTAGTGGATGAGCAGGAAGTCGTCCTGGGAAGAGGGGCATCAGGGGGCATCAGGGGGCATCAGGGGGGCATCAGGGGGCATCAGGGGGGCAGTCGGGGCATCAGGGGGCATCAGGGGGCATCAGGGGACAGTCAGGGGGCATCAGGGGGGCAGTCGGGGCATCAGGGGGCATCAGGGGGGCAGTCGGGGCATCAGGGGGCATCGGGACAGTCAGGGGGCATCAGGGGACATCAGAGGGCATCAGAGGACAGTCAGGGGGCATCAGGGGGCATCAGAGGGATAGTCAGGGGGCATCAGGGGGCATCAGGGGGACAGTCAGGGGGCATCAGGGGGCATCAGAGGGATAGTCAGGGGGCATCAGGGGGCATCAGGGGACATCAGGGGGCATCAGGGACAGTTAGGGGGCATCAGGGGGCGTTAGGGGGCATCAGGGGGCATCAGGGGACAGTCAGGGGTCTTCAGGGGGCATCAAGGGGCAGTCAGGGGGCATCAGGGGGCAATCAGGGAGCAGTGCCTGGTCCGCCGTGCCCGTCTTTACGCCCCGGCCAGTGGGACCTGCAGTGGGACCGCCCCGCCCGGCACACCCGCCACGGGGTCCTGCTGAGCGGCTCCAGATGGTGGAGGAGAGAACCCGGTGATGCTGGGTCTGATCCAGTGACCAGAGGCTCCGCCCTCCCCCCTCCCCCCCAGGCCGCGCCTGCCCTGGCCCAGGCGTGTCCTGGAGCCTCCACCTCTGTCAGCCTCCGTCCCAGCAGGGTCCCTCTCCCGCAGGCCACCCCCCTGCACCGCGCAGACCTCTCCCTCCCGGGATGGGGGCGCTTCTCTCAGCTCATCAGTGGCAGCCCCCCCCCCCCCCAGGCACCAGCCTCTGCAATGTCTCCCGCTGTCCAGGAAGGGGCAGCAGCGCCTCTGACTCTCAGGCACAGGCTGCCCCTGCCGCCCTCCTGCCGCTCTCACCCCCACCTGGACCTCAGATCACCTTCCCATGACCTTGACCCGCCCGGATGCTCAGATTCCCCTCCCTGACGGCAGACGGCGGGCGGCGGGCGGCAGGCGGGCACACTCACGTCCAGGGACTCCAGGCAGTACCAGCAGAAGGCGTGCTTGCAGTTCTTGCACATCATCTGGGCGCAGCCTTCGTCCCGCTCGATGTAGACCTTGCACTTGGGGCAGCGCTTGATGGGCGCGTCGTCCTCCTCCTGCCTGAACCCCGAACTGCGGGAGAAGGGGGTCAGGGCCGCCCGCAGGGCCCAGGGGCAGGCGGACCGCTGTGCTGGGCCCGGGGCTTCCCGGAGGGACCAGGGCGCTTGTTACACGGAAGAGGGAGGACAGGAGCCAGGCTTGGGGGCTGATAAGGAGTCCCAGGAACGCGGTGGGGTGGGGGCAGAGACCAGTGTTCCGGGCACTTCCCCACTCCCTCCCCCCCCACCACCAGCCGGACCTACCTGCTGTCCCCGGGGAGGAAGGCCATGGGCATGGTCTCCGGGCAGCCCCGGCCGGGGTGCCAGCTGGCCTTGCAGGTGGAGCAGAACTCCGTGGCGCAGGCCTGGCACTGCACCGGCTGCGGCGTCTGCAGCCCCAGCTCCGGGAGCGGGCACACGGCCTGGCAGGCGGACACCGGGCACCAGGTCCGGCAGGGGTCCAGCAGCACCTCTGGCACAGGGACGGGGGCCGGTCAGGCGTGTGGGCGGGGCCTCCCCCAGACCCAGCGTCACGTTCTTAATCTTATTTCACTTATAAATAGATGTTTGCTGACTTCACAGAGGCAGGGAGCGGGAGGGAGAGGAACATCAGTGAGGAGAGAGTCCTGGGTCGGCTGCCTCCTGCACACCCCACACTGGGGATGGAGCCCGGTCAGGGCGCAGGCCGGGAATGGAGCCGTGACCGCCCGGGTCACAGGGCAGCGCTCACACGGAGCCGGGCCTCACAGTTCTCCCCGTGAACACTGTGAGGCCCAGCCGCCAAACCCCAACGCCAGGCCCCACGCACACACACAAGCTCCTCCCGGCGGGCTCAGGGCTGAGCGCCGACCTAGGACCCAGGAGGTCAGAGTTCGATTCCCGGTTCTGGGTTCCATCCCCAGTGGGGGTGGGCAGGAGGCAGCGGTCAGTGATGCTCTCTCCCTTCCTCTCTGAAACCAATAGAAACGTTTCTTAATTAAATAAAACCAGCCCCTGAGAAGAACCGCGAGGCCCCAGGCTGGCTTTGCTTCTCGGAGGAGGCCACACCTCCTTTATCATCATGTTATTTGGAGAAGTGGCCTCACGAGGAAACATCGCCAGAGTTTCTTCACACACAGAGACTGGACGGGGACTCCGCCGTCCTCTGGCCTCCCGCACCCACTTCCCCTGCGGACCGGGGCGGCGGAGGCAGGAATGGACGCCCGTGACGCAGACCAGGGCCCAGGTCCCCATCCAGGCGGGAGTGGACAGCCCAGCCGTGGCGGCAAACCGAGCTGGAAGTCTCAGGCCGGCATGCTCCCAGCGGGTTTGGCATGAAGGACCGGGCACCTACCTCTTTCAAACTGCAGCTTCTTATATCTCTGCATGATCTCAGCTGCCACCATGCACTCGATCTGAGGGAGAAAACACACGCACGACGAGGTGTGACAAGCTGATAACACACACACACACCCCCGCACCCGCACCCGCACCCCCACCCGCCCCCGCGGTCCCGGCTCGCGCCTCATGCTCCTGCAGGCGGCCCTGCTTCGGGCAGGCGGCGTCAGGGCAGCTGATGGCGGTTGCCAATCCTTCTCCGATCAGGAGCTCCACGTACTGCTTCAGGCACTGCAACAGACCGAGGCGCAGACACACACGTTCCACGTCACAGGCGTGGTGTGCAGACGGGACGCAGACCTGACCCCCCCGAGGCCGGCACCCACCAGCGTGCAGAACACACAGCGGCACTGGGCCAGCGTGGTCATCTGCTCCAGCGGGTACTCGCCCAGGCACAGCTTGCAGGACACCAGCGGGTCCAGGGCCAGGTCCCACGTGGGCCGGTACCACGCCGTGGTCATGGCCGAGCAGTCTGCGGAGAGAAGGCGTGGTCAGACCCTCTGCTCCTCCTGAGCCAGGGCAGGCAGGGGCTGCATCTCCCGGCTGCGGCCGGAGGGGAGACCGGGCGGAGGCAGAGGCCTGCCGGGGACCCTGGGGTTTCGGGGACCCCCCGGGGTGCTCCGAGAGGTTCCCCGGAGAGAGGCCCCCGACGTGGGTCTGTGGGCGGTTCCTTCCCTGTGTGGATGGAGACGGTCAAGGTCCACAGATCCCACATCCCTCTGAGGCCCTGAGTAAGGGGACCCCCCCCGGCCCCGCACCCAGGCCAGAGGCAGAGCCTTAGCAGCCGGAGCGGCCGCTGCTGAGAGAGCCATCGATGGGGCGCTGGCCTCAGCCCCGGGGACCTGAGGGACCTCGCCTTCCACCCTGGCTCCATCCACAGCCCGGGGCCGGAACCTCGGACACGGCCCCTGGCCTCCTTCCCCCTCACGGGTCCCAGTCTGCTCATTCAGGGACGCCCGTCCGCGTCACACCAGCACGCAGGAGGCCAGGCCCAGCCCCATCCTCCGACACACGCTGCCCGCCCCTCCCAGGTCACGGTCCGACTGCAGGCTGGCGCATGCCCGCGGGGTGGGCTCCGTCCCCAGCTGGGAGCGTGTGGAGGCAGGCGTCAATCAGTGCTTCTCTCTCATCACGGACGTCTGTGTGTGTGTGTGTGTGTGTCTCTCCCGCTCCCTTCCTCTCTGGGATCAATAATAAACATGCTTTTAAAAAAAAAAAAAAAAACAAAAACCTGGCTTGTCCTCCAGGGGGCGCTGGCCGCTCACTGCATGGGGGCGGGGGGGGGGGGGGTGGCCAGACTGTGCTAAAGGCCTGGGTCCGAGGTCAGTCTCTGGCCCGGGACAGGGTCCCGGGTGAACACACCGTCCTGGAATCGCGGACGTGGGCCCCGGGTGCGGGTGTGGGAGAGATCACTCCCTCCTGCGTTTCGAACCCAAGTCCCCGGCCCCTCCACGTCCACCTGCTGCATGTGGGAGCGCCACCTGCTGGGGACGCGCGTGGGGTCCCGGCCGACGTGGCCCCAGTGCGTTCCAGAAGGCGGGAGCCGAGGTCCCCCTTCCGCCTGGAGCCCCTGAAGGGACCCCCCTCCTCTCCTGCCCTTACCACTGCCCGTCCCCCAGGCCAGTCCCCCTGCTGTCCCCCCAGACCAGTCCCCCCGCTGTCCCCCCAGACCAGTCCCCCTGCTGTCCCCCCAGGCTGGTCCCCTGTTGTCCCCCACAGACCAGTCCCCCCAGGCCGGGTCCCCCGGTGTCCCCCCCAGACCAGGCCCTACCACTATCTGCCCCACCCTCACCCCCGCCGTCCTCCCGGGATCAGGACCCCTGCTGTCCCCCCGGGCCGGCCCCCCCGCCGTCCGCCCCCCCGCCCGCCGCCGCCCAGCGAGGCCCTTCCTGTTTACATGCTCTGGGAGGCCTGACCCGGCGCACACACTGCGGGCTCCACCCTCCTTCCTCCCGGGCGGACGGACGGCCACTCGCACTCACCTGGAGATGGCCCGGCCCCTCCCCCAGGCCCGGCCCCTCGGTCAGACCCCAGCGCCCAGCACCGTCCGCGTCCCCTTCGTCCCGACCCCCTCGCTGCCGACAGGGCCTGGTTCATCCCGAATCGCGCCTGTGTCTGAGCCCGGCCGCACCGGGCGGCCACAGGCCGGAGGAGGGTGTGAGGGAATGTGCCGGAGTCACAGAGCAGAGCGGAGACACAGGCTGTGTCCCGGGGAGCGGGCAGCGGGAGCTTACGGGGCAGCCAGCCTCCAGGAACATCTGGTGGTTCTGTCCGTCCAGCAGCTCAGGGGGGTCAGGGGGCGCCTGCCCCTTCAGCGTGGGCTGGGGCCGCCACGGAGCTGTGACGGGGACAGACCGCGGAGGACAGGGGCAGCGGACAGACAGATGGGAGGACAACAGACCAGGAGACAGTGGACGGGACAGGGGGACAGCGGCCGGACAGATGGGGGGTCAGCGGGCGGACGGATGGGGGGTCAGCGGACGGACAGACGGACGGGGGGACAGATCAGCCGGGACGGGCGGTCAGGAAGGAACAGGTGGTGTGGCCGCTGGGCCAGACCCGAGGGCCTCCCTGACAGGGGGACTGTCGTCCAGGGCGACACCCTCCTCGCCGCAGACACGGAGAACCGCATGAGACGCTGACCGTGACGGCTGCGCGGACCCGGACAGGGGCCACCGACCGTGTCACAAACATCCGTCACCGTCCACGGACACCAGCACCAGCTGAGCCCTCACGCGATCCGTGAACCGGACTCGCCCCGGCAGCGCCCACGCAGCCCTCAGCCTCTGTCTTCAGGCGGCGACCAGGGTCAGATGAGGTCCTAGCGACACCCTCCCCTCACGCCCCACGGCCTCCCCTCACGCCCCACGGCCTCCCCTCACGCCCCACGGCCTCCCCTCACGCCCCACGGCCTCCCCTCACCCACCACGGCCTCCCCTCACGCCCCACGGCCTCCCCTCACGCCCCACGGCCTCCCCTCACGCACCACGGCCTCCCCTCACGCCCCACCACGGCCTCCCCTCACCCACCACGGCCTCCCCTCACGCCCCACGGCCTCCCCTCACGCCCCACGGCCTCCCCTCACGCCCCACGGCCTCCGCACAGAGGCATCAGGGAGGGGGGCGGACAGACAGATGGGAGGACAACTGGACCTCCAGGCCCTCAGCCCAGCCACACCCTGAGGGCCTGGTTCCAAGGAGGAGAGAGAGGAGGGGAGAGGGGGGAGGGGGGAGGAAGAGAGAGTGGGAGGGAGAGAAGAGCGAGGGGAGGGGAGGAGGGAAGAGGAAGGAGGGGAAGGAGGAAGGGAGGGAAGGAGCGAGGGGAGGAGAGGAGGGAGGGAGGAGGGAGGAGGGAGGAGGAGGGAGGAAGGAGGAAGGGAGGGAAGGAAGGGAGGGGAAAAGGAGGGAGGGAGAAGGGGGAAGGAGCGAGGGGAGGAGAGGAGGGAGGAGGGAGGGAGGGAAGGAAGGGAGGGGGAAAGGAGGGAGGGAGGAGGAAGGAGGGAGGGAAGAGGAAGGGAGGAGGGGGGAGGGCGGAAGCAGCAGGCTACACCGGACACTCTCGGCGGAAGCGCAGACAATGGACAGCGAGGACCCACAGACGAGAGGACCGGCTGGCTGAGCTGCCCCCCCGCCTGCCACCCCCGCCTCCTGAGCGAGTTCATGGAGACTCGGTGCTTGTGAGGCCTCATGCTCCCAACTCAGCGCCTGCCCGGCCGTGAGCGGCAGCGGCAGTCACTTCAGGATCAGACCCACCAGGCCGGGGCCTGGGCGCGGGCAGGAAATGCCGGGGGGATGGGGGGGGGGCACGGCCTGGAGCCGCCCGCGCCCTCCCAGTGCAGGCGGCCCCGGCAGACAGGCGGCCGCGGAGACGGCCCAGAGGCCTCAGCAAGCCCAGCTGCGGTGCCTCGGGGGCGGGGGGGGGGGGGCGCCCCGTGAGCACACGCATCCTCCGCCAGAGGCCGTGGGGTCCCAGCAGAGCCCGGGCGAGGCCCGGAGACCCCCCCCCCCCGGAGCTGGGGCAGACCCGGCCCTTCACCCCTCAGACACACAGTGGGGGCCTCCCCAGAGCCCCACACCGAGCTGCTTAACACGGACCTCAGAGAGGAAGGAGGGAGGGAGATGGAAACACCGATGACGAGAGAGACCCCTGATCAGCTGCCTCCTGCTCGCCCCACGCAGGACCGAGCCCGCCACCAGGGCCTGACCTCCTGGTTCACAGGTGGACACTCAGCCCCTGAGCCAGGCCGGCTGGGCACCGAGCTTTAACTGTCTCCGCAGCGTCTGTGTCTCAGCCTGTCCCCACGCCGGCCCCCTGCCCCCCACGCCGGCCCCCTGCCCCCCACGCCGGCCGCCTGCCCCCCACGCCGGCCCCCTGCCCCCCACGCCGGCCCCCTGCCCCCCACGCCGGCCCCCTGCCCCCACGCCGGCCCCCTGCCCCCCACGCCGGCCCCCTGCCCCCCACGCCGGCCGCCTGCCCCCCACGCCGGCCCCCTGCCCCCCACGCCGGCCGCCTGCCCCCCACGCCGGCCGCCTGCCCCCCACGCCGGCCGCCTGCCCCCCACACCGGCCGCCTGCCCCCACGCCGGCCCCCTGCCCCCACGCCGGCCGCCTGCCCCCACGCCGGCCCCCTGCCCCCACGCCGGCCGCCTGCCCCCCACGCCGGCCCCCTGCCCTCCACGCCGGCCCCCTGCCCCCCACACCGGCCGCCTGCCCCCCACACCGGCCGCCTGCCCCCCACGCCGGCCGCCTGCCCCCCACGCCGGCCGCCTGCCCCCACGCCGGCCGCCTGCCCCCACGCCGGCCCCCTGCCCCCACGCCGGCCGCCTGCCCCCACGCTGGCCGCCTGGCCGGGCCCCACAGGAACAGACACAGGGGAGCCCCACACCCAGCTCCACGGGCTCAAAGTCATGCGGCAGGCGGCCAGTGGGCGGCGCTGTGACAGCAGACACACGGTCCCTGAGCTTGGCCCTGGCCTTGGGAGCGGCCTCCTCACCCCCAGGGCTCAGGGACGCAGGAGGCTCGCCCACACCCTCCCCGCCCTGTGCCGTGGGCAAACCCCCCCGGGCCACATTCGCCACGTTCGCCAGGATGGCTGTCTCTTCCTGACTCACGCGGGAAGTGGCAGCCCCACGGGGCATCGGGGTAAAGCCGGGGTGGGGGGTGGCCGAGGGGGCAGGGCGGCGCCCCATCCCTGCTCTGGACAATCTCGCGCCCTGGCCCCTGGCCCGCCCTGCCCCTTCCCGCCGTGACCGGAGGACGGGACGCACGGACGGAGCGGGCCCAGCTCAGGGGCGTCTCCTTCCAGGCCCGGCTGAGGACAGACCCAAAGTCTGAGGGGGCGTGGCCATGGAACGGCCGAGAACGCTGGGACCGTTTTCGCTGGGACCGTTCCCCCTCGGACCCGGGGCCTTGCCTGTCCCGCCATCCCCCCGCGGGGCGCCCAGGACTCACTCAGAATCAGC